CAGAATGACTCATTGGGGATTTTATTCTATTGAATAATAGATGCCATATGAAATTATTGGAAAGAATATGTGGAAGTACCTTAGATCCGGGCATGTGCATGTTCACATATACAATAGCATCTGCTATACGCAGGTTATACCGCATCAACAAAAAGGGGAGAGGCAAGAAATGGGGAAGTTTAATGAAGTACCAGTCATCCGTTAACCCTGATTTGCCACTTTAGTGGCCCATCTCACCCACAGTGCAGCAGTTTAAGTAGAAGGGGATTAAATGTTTATTCCTTTTGATAATATTGCCTTAACCTGCTTTAGGCAACACAGATCCAGTCCAATTAAGTCACTGGATTCTCTTGTGAAACCCAAAAGCCCCTCAATAAAAATAAATGAATAATAGTTTGAAGCTTTCACGAAAATACACTGTCTAGTGCCACTATACCTACAGTGCTAACGACATTAAACAGCAGAGGGGACACACACTTTATTGAAGCTCAGCTAAACCAATTCCCAGCTGAGATGTAACGGACAAACAATAAAGTTGGGTTATTTCTACTTAAAACTGAAGTATTTCCCAATTGTAGTAAATTGTAAAGCAGGACTATCCACCAAGAAACGGATTGAAAAACATTTCCTTTGTAACACATATGGTCTTCTCCCAGGAGGCCTCAGAACAGCAGGAGATCTTACTAACCATATGTGCTGCAATATTCAAGCACACTGGGTTTGAATTAAAGGTTCTGTGGAAACCGAAAGACTTTGCCAAGGTTGACTAGTCCAAAATTTAATATTCTTTAAAAATATGTTTTGTCCTCTCTTTTGATTCTTTGAGGAAACAAAAATGCCCATCAGCTTCCCTGCATGAGAACTAACACATTTAGGTTTATATCACACTTCCAGGCTAGACAACCTGCCAAGTGCTGAGCTGGGATGTAGCCTTTCTTCATGTTTGTATGTCATCCCTCCATTTTCATGAGACTATCAAATTATTGAAATGATCAGAGAGGATGATTCCTGTGCATTAGTGAGCAGCATTCATGTAATGCTACCTGGCCTTCTTCATGCTTGTAGGCAGAGAAAGAGTTACATTGTGATCATAGGTACTGGAACTAGGGATGTGGGGGTGCACCCCGTGGCTTGAAGTAGTAATAGCAACACAAATACATGGTTTACACTTTTAGCACCCCCACTACAAAAATTGTTCCTGCACCACTGATTGCAATGAGACCCAGATAGCAAGCAAAAAAAAAAAAAAAAAAAAAAAATTCAACTGTACTTCTAGATTTAGACTCAACAGCCCTGATAGGGTACATTTAATTCAAAATACCTTTGCATTTCTGAGTAGTCTAAACATTAGCATTGCGATATGGCTTCTGTTCATTTTAACGCAATTAAGAAGTGAAGAGATTTTCATGTACTTAAGTTTCCCCAGAAGTATACCTCAGATTAGTATAATCTTACTAGAGGCGTTAGACAATAAGAGTTAAAAAATCTGATTTCCTAAATGTAACAATTTATCTAGCCATGATTTCTAGTAAATATTTGTTCTACATTGAATAAGCATGTCTGTGTCTCTCATTTCAAAGGCCAAACTGAAGTTTAATTTATTAAAAATGGTTGGTTTGTTTTTTGGACACAGCAGATGAGGGGCAAGAAGTACTCCTTCAAAGTCATTTCCAATATCCTAAGCATCACCTATTTAATACTATTGCCAAGCTCTAAAGTTAGGCTCCATTGTCTAAATGTTTATATGAAATCAAAGAGATGAGAGTTTGTATATAATCTATCTTAACTTTTTGTGAATGGTTGTCAATGAGAACATGCTCATAAAGAGGATGCTCTACAAGCCTTTACATTATTTGAATAATTGGGGTGTCCCATTTTGACAGATAATGCAGATTTCAGTGTTTACCATTGATTTGCAAAGAAATATGGACCACAGTGACACACACAAAGAGATACAGGTGGCTCCTAGTAACATAATTTGTTTTCTCACAGCATCTCTTAGCCACAACTTTCTTCAGCAGAAGGCAGCTCAAATATCATTTTGTCACAACTTTGATTGGACCCTATTTTCTAGTTATAGCATAGTAGTCAGCTTTAAAGAGAAAAGGCAGACTTCTCGGCCTTGATAAGCGATGACACCTGTTCCAATACAGCTGGGATGGGCATTTTGCAGTATCTGCAATACTTTCCCCCTCAGTGGAGGTAAAACTGCACTTTACCATGTAAAATTTGTATTTAATACCTCCCCTTTCATACTCATCCACAAAATGTGTATCATTCTCACTGCCTGGAAAAATATTTGCAGAAAGCAGGTGGCTACTTTCCTAAAGAATGATGTTGCTGTGCTACTTGATGACACTAGAATGTGTCTATGAAAGATTAACATTTCAAAACAAAAATTGTTCTCCACTATGACAAAAAAAGTCATTGTCTTATTCCTTTCTGGCTGCTCCTGAAATAGTCCCATGCTTAACTATTTACCTACAAATAACACACCAATTCTGCTAGAGCTTAAAAAGGGCCTCTGTTCAATAAAGGTAAATATAAATGTATAAATATAGACATATGTAATTCAATGCAGAGATAAATTAATTCCCAGCGCTCAGTCGTGTTTTTCCATATGTGAAAGTACTTTTGTGAACAGAAGAGTTTAAAAGTCACACTACATAACAGCAACAAATATCTGTCAGTGTGTGGCTGTCTCGTGTACAGGATTTACCAGTGAGGAGAACATTTTTGTGGTTGTGCCCCCCACAACGCTTAGCCATTGATGCAGAGATCTGCAGTATTTGGGGGTTGCCTTGTGGTCTGTTCTGAGGAAGCCAGGAATCCTCATCAATGTAAGAATTCATGAGAAATTTAAATGGAAAAAACCTCACATTTCCTTTCCTTTAACTCCTCCTGTGGATTTTCCCTGCCACTCAGATCCTGTATTTTAAAGTATGTAACACAGAAAGCTAACATTTCAGAAATTCCTTTATGCGTTATGTTCTGTTAAGAATAAGGTTTCTCCACCAATGAGAAAAACTGCTTTTGTTTCAAAACAGAAGAAATTATGCTAGTTTTTATTTATTTATTTATGCATGCAAACTTACTTGCTAAACCATTACAAGAGGGACACCTAGTGGTTTAGTCACTAAAATATTGTCAAGTTCTCATCCATTCATTGTTACCGGATAACTAACGGTAAATGGCATTAACTAAATAGAAAAAAAGTCTAGGAGCAGAACTTGTGACCAAAACCAATGATAAGCAGTGGGAGGGCGGGAAGGGGGGGGGGAATAAAGCCCAAAGAAAAGCCATCAAGGAAAAAGCCTGCTCCAAGTGGCTATTATCTGAGGCTCTTAAAGTGTTTACTGTTTTTCCCCCCCAACAGGTCAATCAAATATTTAAATTTCAATGAGCCCTCATATTAACTTTGGACCTGCCCCTGTATTTCACACAGAAGCACTCTTCACCAAGTTACTACATTTCTGTATTATGACACAGTACTATACAAGGAATATAAACTTTATTTATATTAGCAAACGTTTGCTTCATGAATAACCCAGACTTAAATCCACATCCTTTCCCGTCCATGAGGGGGAGACATTTTCAGCAAGTCTTCATCTTGAACAGATGTACCCACCCTCCCAATCAAAGAAAAAGAAAGTCAAGTACTTTGGTAAACCCAATTAATGGAAGAATGACAGATACAGAACTCGTCTAGGGACTAAGAGTTACAAGTCCTTAGCAAGGAAATAGGAATTGAAAATCATTTTGGTAAAAGCATTAAAAAAATCCCGTTTGTCCCGCATCACAGACATGCATGCAAGTAAAAGCCCAAATTAATTTATGAAGAAGGAAAAACCTCTCACTCCCTCCGTGAATACCATTGCTCAGTAAAGACAACATTTAATTGACTAGCACCAGTAATGGATGGTATGCCACGTTGCTGACTTCAGTGCTTGGATTTCCAATTATGACAATCAGTGACTACTTTATGATAGTAGGCAACATCAGCCCAAGCACAACAGAAGAACCCGAATTGAAGTTTGGGGTACAATAAATCTTCACTGATGAAGCTGAATACTAGAGGGCTGTAGAAGAATTTACTACAAATTTCCATCTGAATATGTTTCCAAAAATATTTCATGGAGTATTGTTCACTATCTAATGCAGGGGTGGGCAAACTACGGCCTGGGGGCCGCATCTGGCCCTCCAGACTTTTTAATCTGGCCCTCGAGCTCCCGCCAGGGAGCGGGGTCTGGGGCTTGCCCTGCTCTGGCGCGCCAGCCAGGGAGTGGGGTTGGGGGCTGAAATTGCTTTTCCCCAGGCCCCCTGAATCCTTTGGCCGGCCCTGCGCTCCGCGCAGCTCCTGGAAGCAGCAGCATGTCCCCCCTCCGGCTTCTATGTGTAGGGGCAGCCAGGGACTCCACACGCTGCCCCCGCCCCAAACGCCGCCCCTGAAGCCCCGTGGTTCCCGGCCAATAGGAGTTGCAGGGGCGGCACCTGTGGTTGGGACAGTGTACAAAGCTGCCTGGCTGCGCCTCCGTGTAGGAGCTGGATGGGGGACATACCGCTGCTTCTGGGAGCTGCTTGAGGTAAGTGCCGTTCAGAGCGTGTACCCCTGACCCCCTCCCATGCCCCAACCCCAGCCCTGATCCCCCCTCCTGCCCTCAAACCCCTTGGTCCCAGCCAAGAGCTCCCTCCTGTACCCCCAGGCCCTCATCCCCAGCCCCACCCCAGAGCCCACACCCCCAGCTAGAGCCCTCACCCCCTCCCATACCCCAACCCCCAATTTTGTGAGCATTCATGGTCCGCCATACAATTTCCAGACCCAGATATGGTCCCCGGGCCAAAAAGTTTGCACACCCCTGGTCTAATGTGATTCTGTCATGAAAAACGCTACCAGACCTTGAAATCTTATAGAAGAGCTCTTCACCAGCTATTCTTTCAGTGATACTTAAATGAAGGTTTTGCCCAGTTGTCCCCAAACCCCATAATAATTAGAAACTTACTTCTTGTTGAAGGTGGTTGAATTCTCTCTCCTTTTTGTAAATCCAATGGGTAAAGTTTTCAAGTGGATATTGTGCTTTCGAGCTCGGTTTTTCAAATAATTTATCTAACAGAAAATAAAAGCCAAAGTATATTCAAATATGGAAACATTTATTACTTCTGTCCTGCAAGTCTAAAAATTGAGACCAAAAGAGCAATCCTGGAACCAAAGTGCCTGTTAAGCATTTAAGAAGCAGCATAATGTAGCATAGTACACAGCGGTAAACTCTCTCTCTCTCTTTTTTTTTAAACACACAAAAATTCTCAGTTAAAAAAAAAAAAAAGATATTTAGATATCTTCAAGAGTTTCCAAGCTTATTCTTAAACATTTACAGACAAAGTTTTCCCATGGTGAGCACAAGAGTCCTAATGAAACATAAAACATATATTATAAGTAGAACTCAAACAGTGCAAGAGGGTTGGAACCCAACACAGCTACAGAATTAGTGACTGACCTCTTACGATTTTTTAAATCCAAAGGGCCCTCAACACCTTTCTGTGCACAAATCAAGTACAAAACCTGTATCCGTGAGGTCCAGAGGAGAAATTTCCCCCAAACCCACTCCACTACTGCAGCTGCTGCACAGTTTCCCTGAGATGAAGGCTGAATAGTTAGTATATCTATACGGTCATGAATCAACTGGCCGGTGCAGAGAAAACCCAAAGAAGCGTGCTCTGCAATGCACAGGGGTAATAATGTTGACATGGCATGGCTGAAGAGCCATTAGATCAGTATTCTGTAATGGTAGAGTCTGCTAAAACAACAACACTTAACTATGCTCCAAGGCACTATTGACTTCCATCAGAAATTCCGCAACATTAACACCATCCTTACCACCATGGATATCACCTCCCTCTACATCAACATCCCTCACCACAACAGCATTGCTGCCTGCCTCAAATACCTACAGTAACTCCTCACTTAAAGTCATCCCTGTTAACGTTGTTTCGTTGTTACGTTGATCAATTAGGGAACATGCTCGTTTAAAGTTGTGCAATGCTCCCTTCTAACGTCGTTTGGCAGCTGCCTGCTTTGTCTACTGCTTGCAGGAAGAGCAGCCCGTTGCTGCTAGCTGGTGGGGGCTTGGAACCAGGGTGGACCGGCAGCCCCCCATCAACTCCACGCTCCCCTGTGCAGCAGCTGCCCAGCAGGCTAGCAACTGCAGCTGTCCCTCCCCCCACTGCCATGTGCTGCTCTTGCCCTCGCCTTGGAGCTGTTCCCCGAGACTCCTGCTTGCTCTGTGGGGGGGAGGGAAGGAAGAGGGGGGCTAATGTCAGGGTGTCCCCCTCCCCCCTGCTCCTGCACCCCGCTTACCCATCTTCCATAGAGCAAGGGGGACACACCAGGGCTCAGGATGGAGGGAGCTTGCAGCAGCTGCGGTCTCAGCAAGCTAATCTAATTAACAAGGCAGTGTACTTAAAGGGGAAATGCGCAGATCTCCCTCCATTCTTGCTGCCTTGTAGAGTGAGAGAGTTAACCCTTGAGGGCTCAGCCAATTGCTAGTTCATCATTTAGCAGTAAGGGAAATATCCACCCTCTGACTCCTCCACTTCAACCAAGCTTCACAATCATCATCACTGTGTACCAGTATTAAATTGTTTGTTTAAAACTTATACTCTGTGTGTGTATATAGTCTTTTGTCTGGTGAAAAAAAATTCCCTGGAACCTAACCCCCTCATTTACATTAATTCTTATGGGGAAATTGGATTCGCTTAACATTGTTTTGCTTAAAGCCGCATTTTTCAGGAACATAACTCCAACATTAAGTGAGGAGTTACTGTACAAGATAACATACGTTTGAAAATCCACCCTATGCACATTGCCAAACGCATCCATTTCATCCTCACCCACAACAATTTCACATTTAACAACAGACACTTTGTCCAAACTATGGGAACAGCCATGGGTACTAAGATGGCTCCCCTATACACTAACCTCTTCATGGACTACCTTGGGGAAGAATTTCTGGAAAAAGGCACCAAAAAAACAACATACCAATATATCTGAGATACATTAATGCCATTTTCATCCTCTGGACAGAAGACCTAAACTTCTTCATACATTTCCACCACTTCAACAACCACCATCGATCTATTACACTCTCTGTAGGACATTTCCACACCAGCATCAGCTTCCTGGACACCATGATTAACTTCAACAATGAAACCCTACAAATGACTGTATACATGAAACCAACACATCACCACACTTATCTTCACAGATTCAGTAACCATCCCAGACACACCAAAAAATCTGCTACTGTCAGCCAGGTACTCAGAGACCACCTCCAAAGAGAAAATCCAGGCTATACACCTTAACAGACTTAAAGCCTCTTTCACTAAACAAGGACACTCCACCAGAGAAGTAGATTGCATCATGGAAAGGATCACCCAAATACCCCAGGAGAGCCTACCTCAATACAGAAAAAACACCCCTCACTGACTGCACGCCCCTACTTGTCACCTACTGCTCCACACTAGAGCCCAACTGGGGTATCGTCAAATAATTACAACCCATATTTGATGGGCACCACATGCTGAAGGAAGTCTTTCCTAACCCCCTCTTCTGGCCTTAAGAACAACCCTCCAACCCTGACAAGCTCACTACCAAAAACAAGCTCCCCACAGACCTCGACACACCAACTCAAAGCAGCATCAGACCCTGCCTGAACAGATGCAAAACATGCAGACATATCTCCACTGCTACAATGATCAATACCTGCCCCAACACACCTTTCAAGATCCCTGGGTCCAACACATGCCTATCACAACATGTGGTTTACCTCATCCAGTGCATCAAATGCCCCAACAACTATGTGGGTGAAACCAGACAATCACTACACTTCTGAATGAACTCATAAAAGACAAAAACATATCACCTGTGGACAAACACTTTTCATAAAACGATCACTCCATATCTGACCTCTTGGTACTTGTCCTCAAGGGGAACCTGCACAACACCTTCAAAAGGTGAGCCTGGAAACTTAATTTCATAACTCTGCTAGACACTAAAAACCATGGACTCAATAGACACACTAGTTTTTTGACTCATTACAACAACTTACTACACACCCCACTGCCTGCTAATAATTAATCGCCTACTTCATTTTAAGGGGTTTCCCACAACATGTTATCCCCTTACGCTTCATTTGTCCCAACTTGTATTTAGCTCAGAAACACTGATTTCCTTCTCCAGAATGGAAGAAGAGCCCTGTGAAACTCAAAACCTTGTAACTTCCACTACAGACGTTTTTCTAATACAGTAACTCCTCACTTAAAGTCATCCTGGTTAACGTTGTTTCGTTGTTAATCAATTAGGCGACATGCTCGTTTAAAGTTGTGCAATGCTCCCTTATAACGTTGTTTGGTAGCCGCCTGCTTTGTCCACTGCTTGCAGGAAGAGCAGCCCGTTGCAGCTAGCTGGTGGGGCTTGGAACCAGTGTGGACCGGCAGCCCCCCCCATCAGCTCCCTGCTCCTCTAAGTTCCCTGTGCGGCAGCCACCCAGCAGGCTACCAATTGCCACCCGCACTGCCATGTGCTGCTCCTGCCCTCTGCCTTGGAGCTGCTCCCAGGAGCCTCCTACTTGCTGTGCAGGGAAGGGGGGGAAGAGAGGGGCTAATGTCAGTGTGTCCCCCTGCCCCCACTCCTACCTCCCGGTTACCTCTTCTCCAGCAGGGTGGGGAGAGCTTGCTGGCCACAGCTGCTGTCTCAACTTCCTGATCTTTTAAAAGGCAATGTACTTAGAGTGGGGCCAGCATACCTAAAGATGCAATGCACGTCTCTCTCTCTCTCACACACTGTGTGTGTCCCTGTCTCTGTCTGCCATGCTGTCTCCCCTCCCTCCATTCGTGCTGCCTTGTAGAGCGTGAGGCTACATTAACAACGTGTTAACCCTTGAGGGCTCAGCCGAAGGCTAGTTCATCAGCAAGGCATTCCCTGGGAAATATCCCATCCTCTAACTTCACCACGTCAACCAACCTGCACAATCATCATTGCTGTGTACACTATTAAATTGTTTGTTTAAAACTTATACTGTGTGACCCAAGATCCAAGATTTTATGTGTGTGTGTGTGTGTGTGTGTGTGTGTGTGTGTATGTATATATATATATATATATATATATATATATATAAAAAATAGTCTTCTGTCTGGTGAAAAAAATTTCCCTGGAACCTAACCCCTCCTATTTACATTACTTCTTATGGGGAAATTGGATTCACTTAACATCGTTTCACTTAAAGTCGCATTTTTCAGGAACATAACTACAACGGTAAGCAAGGAGTTGCTGTACAAGATATTAGTTCACCCACCTTGTCTCTCTCATATCCTAGGACCAATTCAGCCACAACAACACTGCAAACTTAACTATGCTGTACTTTAAAAGATCTGTTTAGGAAAACTCCAGTGATCACTTACTTTACACGGATAAGTGTGTTTGCAAACCAGAGATATAGAGATAAAGAAGTAAGTTTCAAAACAGTTTTTGGTAATACCAATCACCAGGGCTGGCTCCACGGTTTTTGCTGCCCCAAGCGGCGGGGGAAAAAAAAAAAAAAAAGCCACGATCGGCGGCAGCTCCACCGGGCCACTTTCTTCTTCGGCAGCAGGTCCTTCCCTCCGAGAGGGTCCCGCCGCTGAATTGCCGCCAAAGAGCCCAACGGTGCCGCCCCTTCCCCTTGGCCGCCTCAAGCACCTGCTTACTGAGCTGGTGCCTGGAGCCGGCCCTGCCAATCACTATTCCAGTATTCCCATTCAGCAAACAGGGCTGTTCTCTCTCAGTGAGTTAAAATTATTACACCTAAAAACCATTTGATGAATTCTCAGTAACTTTGATAGCTGGTTTAACAACAAACCAATATTTTAAAAACTTACAGCACTTAAAACAAACCTGGCACTTTCTGCTATTTGGTGTTTTCTAAGGGCTCACTCCTGCAAACATGCACAAGTAAATGGATTTACATGAACACTGAAATCTGTCTATCTTACGAATATAGGTACCTAAACATCTTTAAAAACCTGTCCATAAGTAACTTGCCCAAGCTCATACATGAAGTCTGTAACAGACCAGGGAATAGAGTCTAATCACAGGACCACACTCAAGTAAAGTTACTTATGTGTGTCTGAGTGACTGAGTTCTAACAGAACACTTGATTTTTTCAATTTTACTTTACAGCAAACTGTCCACATGGCATCTTCTTGTTCGATGAGTTCTAAAATTACATTTAAAGATGGTTTGTGTAGGGCTTAAAAAATTAACAACATCGAGTTCATGGCTTTTTATGATGTACAAAGAAGTCTTAAAACGTTGTTTTGATTTTCTCTCCCCCCCACTTGTTATTTTAACTTAGAAGTGTCAGGAATGTAAAGTATGGTCTTCCCTAGTTTTGCTGGGAGGACCTGTGAGAGAGAAAATATATTTATTGTGAGCTCTTAACACTTTAATTGAAGGGATGATTCTTACTGAAAGTCCTTTCCCCTTTTTAATAGCTCAGCTCTCACTCTTCGTGTGATGTCACTTATCCCAGCTCTTTAGTTGTCATCATCTCCGCTCCCAATGATGATCATATAACAATTCTGTGGCAACTAAAGTAATTGTTTACATGAGAAATTTTAAGAAATATTTTACATATGCATAAAATGAATTTCTAAAATAAAAAGTCTGTCAGACCTTCTTTATACACCATAAAGAAGCAGAAATGGGCACAAGTCAATTTTTCTTCATTTGGGGTCACCTTTACTATTAAAAAATGTTTGCAGTGATTTATTCTTCTTAGTTATTAAATATAGTGATCAGAATCTCTCATATTACGTTGGAGCTCTTCTTTAATTTAAGACTGGGCTTCATATATACAGTTCTGATCCTGAACTTCAGAGGCACTCAGATCTCAGGTTTGTTCAGTCCATTACAGGAAAAGAACCAGTCATAAATTTTGGATCTGGATACCCTCAATTTGGAGGTCAGGGGATGTTCTAATCTGGGATTTTGGAGCTGCCTCATTTCTACTTTAAACTAACCAAAAAGATAACTTGAAACTCACAAATTTATTGGTTGTTGGTCTATGCAAGGAAACATCTCGAGCAGCACCATCAGTCATCCTTCCTACATCTTCCAGAAAACGATAATCTAAATATACAAAGAACAGGAAGAAAAGTGTAATGTTGGTTTAAAAAAGAAGATGGGGTGAAGTTTACATAGCAGAGAAATTCTTACCACTTAGGAGATTCAACTCGCTAAACTCATTTATGGAGACAAATGCTGCCTTCTCTCTGATTCCATTACAACTCAGTGCAGTTTTGTGCTTTTTCACACACGCCAAACTGAAAGTACAGAGAAACATGAGCATTCTGTCTCTAGCATACAAGAAACCAAACAAGAGAAAATTCAAATTGTATATACCTGCATGAGTATTTCATGCAACGTGGACACCTGTACTTTGCTTCCTCTCCACTACAGGTTTCACATCTGAAAGAAAAAAAAGGCATTTCATTTGCATTAAAGTAATGCATTTGTGTTTGTACTTAAAAGACAGGTTTTCTTTACATTTAAACCAAGCATGGGTCATAATTCTGAGAAACGATCACTGACGCTTGAAAGCAGGGAAAGGAAATATGGATGCCTCAGCAAAGCGAGTACTTTCCAAACATTTTCACAGGGTGAGCCACAGATCAATACGGGGGGAGATTTACCTAGAAACAAAGGGAAGTGAGGAACCAAGACCCAGCTCCTCAAAGGTACAGGTGCTTAACTCCATTCAAATCGATGGGAGCTAGGTGTCTAAATACCTTTGAGGGTCTGGGCACAAACGGCCACTCAGAGTCAAAGGGGGGCGTCTAACTCCCCTCTGCAGGAACCCACCTCGGGGGACACTCATTGGCTGTCGTCCATTAGCCCGCCTCCTGGGGAGGAGGCCAACCAGTGACGGACGCGAGGACAACGCTCGCTCCGCCCGTCGGAGCTGAGGGTCGGGACAAAGGTGACACCCTCGCGCCCTGTCCCCGCGAGGGGAGAGGGCACAGGGCAGCCTGCCCCCCCGGCACGGGGCGCGAGGGTGAGACAAGCGGCGGCGCCGCGGCTGCCCCCGCGCCTCGGAAAGGGAGTAGCGGGACACCCTGCCCGACGGGCAGACGTGGATCTGCGGAGCCGAGGCTTCGGGCTGCTCCTACCCGTGCAGCGCCATCTTCCGCTTGCCGCTGGCCAGCCCCGGGCTCCCCGCCGGCCCGCTCGCCGCCCCGGCTCCCTGCTCCATCCGAGTCCCAGCGACACGCGCTCCGCCAGGGGTCACGTGAGCCGTGTTCCTCCCGACTGGCGTGCACAGCGTGGCGGCGCTTTGCGCCTGCGCTGCGGGAGGGCGGCGGGAGACCGCCCTCTGGCGGCTGCTTGGGCGAGCGCCGCTGTTTCCATGGAGACCTGGAAACTCCTCCCTGCGGGATGGCTCTGCCCCCCCATCCCCAGCCTGCTCCCGGGGGGGGGGGGGGCGGCTTTGCCCCCTCCCACCCCAAGCCGCTCCCATTGGTGGACCGGGGCCTCTCCAACCTACTCCCGTTGGGGTGGGGCCGCTGACACACATTCCCATGCAGCGATGTTTAACCGCCCATACCCCCGCGCATCCCTGCCCGGGCCACCCGGCTGCCCCTGGAGGTTAATAATTCACCTGGGGGGGTTGTGGTCCCCGATGGGGCAGGTCGTGCCATTAAGTTTCATGCAGTCCCAAGCAGGGCCGCCGAGAGCGGGTTCGGGCCCTGGTGAAAAAATGTTTTCGAGCCCCCCCAGCAAGGGCGGACGGGCTAAACAGGGCCGACGAGGGGGGGCGGGAAGCCAGGCCCCGGGCCCCCTTCTGGACCGCTGGGCCCCGGTAAGGCAACGAGTGGGGGGGAAGCCAGGCCAGGCCAGGCCCCCTCTTCCGGACTGCCGGGCCCCGGTGATTTGTACCGGCTTCCCCCCCAGTCTCGTCGGCCCTGGTCCCAAGCCTGGAGCTCAGCGCACTTGCCTGGGACATGGCAAGGTAGACTATGGCTCTGAGTGATCACCTCCCAGAGAGGATACAGAAGTTAATTTCACTGATGCACATGTGGTTTCCTCTGATTGGGAAATATCCCTGGTATACAGTGGGCAGACTGGGGATGATATTGCTTTAGCTTTTTAATTTTACCTATAATCAGTGAGGGTTTTTGTTTGTTTGTTTTAAAAATCTGGTCACTGTGTGTGGGCTGTGCTGTTGCACTAATCTAAGCACTGCTGGATATTTGGAAAATGCTTTGACCTAATTAAGAGCTGTTACTTCTCTGGCTGGATTTTGATATTTAGAGATAATGGTCCAAATTCTACACAAAGTAAACCCAGAGTAACCCCATTGATTTTAGTGCAGCTAAATGGTTTGACTGAGAGCAGCATGAAGCTCAATGGTTCTAGGATAGCATATGTTACACTCTGTCAGTTGGGCAATGAAGGGGCCATAGATTCCAGTGTCACTAGTGAGCCCTAAATGGCAAAGGTGGCCACCTAGGCCTTAGAATGTAAATGATCATATGATAAACATCCTGTTTAGTTCACTTGGTCTCGGATTAAATTTCTAAACATGGACTGGTGTATCCCTCCATTTATGTGGGCAGAGGGGTGGAAACCCACCCTGCTTTATGGCATTCTCCCCCTAAACCTAGAGAACACCCTTTGTATTGATAGGGGTTTACAGGTTAGCAGGCAGCATGCCAGAATGGAGTCATATAGTTCCTATCCAGAGCAGGTTTTCTTCAAGTTCCCTGCCACTTAGACCAGTATTAACTCCATATGGCGTGGGCTATTTGTGCAACTGCAGTGGGAGCAGGCTGTACTCTCATGCCAGAGTAGGTTGATGGTGGCTGTGTAAAGATTTCCAAATCTGTGTGGAGATCTGCAAGGGTTGGGTTTCCGTTTGCAACAAATCCCTTGCCTAAACAGTTAGGCTGATTTCTTTCTCATGTTGATGAGGTGGCATGCACCCCTCACCGAGATACATACTGTATTTTTTCCCTACTCTGATGCGCTTCTCTTCATGAGGTGACATTTGGTTATAGGTATTATTTAAACCTATTAAATAGGTATTATTTGGGGTTTGATTCTTTGTTTCCTACATTTGCAGAGGTGTAACTAAGGACAGAATATGAGGACAATAGGGTTGTGTACGTGTAATTTACAGTATTGGCCTATAGAATCTCTATTACTAGAAGTGACATGTCAGAAACTATCCAGCTTGACTTTGAAAATTCAGGCTGCAGCAGAGCGGAGTGTGCAAAACCAGACTTGTTTGGGTTTGTACAGATGACAGAGAAACCCTCTTCTTATTTGTAAATGAACAAATGTGATACAAAAATCAGCTAGAGCTCCGCAATGCCTTTTTCACAGCTACTTTTCAGAGTAGTACTGCGCTTTAAATGTTCTCTGTTTCTCATATTCTATTTGTTATATTAGGTTACAAGTGTTAGAGACAGAAAAAAATCTATTAGGTCAGCCAGTCACTGCTGACTCAGTCAAGAGAGGCAATACTTTATGTAACGTGAGGAATCGGAGGCGTCCACCTCTGCTGGTAAATTGCTTAGCAAAGCTTAAAACAAAGTAGAGCAGGGGTTCTCAAATTGGGGGTTGGGACCCCTCACGGGGTTGCAAGGTTATTACATGGGGGGTCACGAGCTGTCAGCCTCCACCTCAAACCCTGCTCTGCCTTCAGCATTTATAATGGTGTTAAATATATTAAAAAGTGTTTTTAATTTATTATGGGGGGGTCGCACTCAGAGGCTTGCTATGTGAAAGGGGTCACGAGTACAAAAGTTTGAGAACCACTAATGTAGAGGTTCTGTCTGGCTTTTTATATCGTTAGAAATATATTGAAGATATTTTTGGCACAAGACACGCTCTTCCTTAATGAAAACTTCAAACTATTACACATTCCTTTATTTTAATGATGTTTGGGGAGGAGGGGTTCATAGTTGCTTGGCTGGATTGATTCTGTGTTGCCTAGAGCAATTTGAAGTATTATCATCAAAAGAAGTAGAAATTTAACCTTCTTATTTGAATTGAATTGTGTAGGATGGGCCACTAAAGTGGCTCATTAGGGTTTCCCACTCTCTCCCCCTCCAATTTTATTGATGCAGAATAATCATTTTAGAGCATCAGCTATAAAATTCAGGAATGCATATATATGCTAATCTAAAGAATATACACATATAAATAACTTCTTACCATTTAAAGATGCTTGTTTTTTAACACAGCACTGTCCTTATGAGATACAAGCATTAAAAATGCATTAAACATTAAAAAATTAAGTGAAAATGAGAATAAGGTTGATAAAAGATAAAAAAGCCACAGCATGTTGTAAAAGAGTACATTCTTACAAAAACAAATGGCAGTAACATGATCTCAGTGGAAAGTCAAACTAAGAGCACATGTGAAATGGTTAACTGTCATAATATCGCCTTTAAATGCTGAAATGACAATGAAAAATCTTCTCTGAACCATCTCATCTTTTCTCTTTTTCCCCTTAATTGATCATTCTATATCTTGATTTGCTTCTTTAGATTACTCAAAGAATATGCACACTTTAAAGAAATCCATAATTTGAGGAAAAATGCTACTTCAGCCCCAGATTTAGAATTGGAGATTCTACACATTTGTCTTGTATAAGGAAATGTTCTATGTTATTTGTGCAATATCCTGTAACACCACAAATATGCATGTGTTTCCCTTTCTAATACAAATATTTATCAAATAAGAGACTCTGAACAGCCTTTTCATGGTTGCTGAAAATGAACAATACAAGGAAAGGGAATCAAAATAATAAAAGATAAACAGTTATTTTCGAAGCACATTTTATTATAGATGAGTAAGCATGACTTACTATGGATAAAGATGATTTAAATGAATTGCTGTTTGAACACTCTCCCTGCCCCCAAATATGAGGTATAATCTTGCTCTGTATTACTGTACGAACACTGCTTTGACAACAGATATAGGCAAGCAGTTTGCAAAATCTTTTAGAGTAAATGTTTTGTCTTATTGATAAAAGTGTATTTTGTTCAACAACTGAGGGTCAAATACTTTTAGAGTCAATAAAATAAGTGTGAAACAGTGTCTAGTAATATTGCAAACAAATGGAATTTCTAAGTTGCTGAAATAATTATGATTATAACTTAGCAGCCATTCAAAACATATGCTGTATTAAAATTTTCAACAAGTTACAAAATATATACACAATACATCGTCTTAGATGTTATTGGGTGTTTAAAATAGTTAACTGCAGTCCAGAAACTAAACCCCAAAACTATTGTATGTAGCTCTTCTACAACAATCTTTACAATGGCTAACAATTAGTTGTCCTGCCTATAAGCACCATATACAATGTGCTGTCTGGTATACCACTTCCACAAGAATAAACAAAAACATTTTAATCAAAAATTTCACATAAATAATGTTTTTACTTGTAATGAAGTATGTGACCAAACAATTTAAGATAAGTACTTTTACAACAGAAACATATCTTGATGTAACCAGCACATACAGTCTGCAAGAGAAAAAGGGAATCAAATAATCTCTACTAAAGCCACAAGCACCTTGTGTTATAAAGAGCACCAGAAATACAAACAGGAAACACGTAAGAGGTAGTGTACCATCTGTTAAGATGTATGTGTCCAAAAGGACTATAATACAACTTAGTGTTTAAGAAAAGACAACTTCTTGTACTGTGGCATAATTCACTCTCATACACAAGCTATTGCACATTTGGGAGCATTAGCCAGTATTGCTCCTTACTACTGTATGTCTCCAGCTTTCCTTAGGATGTCCTGTACAGTGTTGTTAAATAGGTTATTAAGAATACTAGAGGTCCTGAAGAATTTTATGTTTAGATATATAGTTCTCAGTTCCAGGGAAATATACAAGAAAGCACCAACCAATATTTAAAAAAATTAAATACTTTAGCAATGTCATCATAGTCTTTTTTTTTTTAAATGCCATTTCTCCTTCTTAGGAGGAAGTCTTTTTCTTCCTGAGATTCTTTAAGATATAACCAACAATTTGCTTTAAAATTCTTCCACAGTTTCATAATGATTTAATCTTTAATTCATTTTTGTTTTAAAAAGATGCTTTTTCTGTGCAACAGTTCCATGGTGTTGTGAGAAACCAGAATCAGGTCAGGAGGCTTAGAGAAAGCACACTGAACCACTTTCTATGTTATGCTGTTGTCCTGGTTTCAGATGAGGAAACGTATGCACTTGAACAACCGGAAGGTCAGTAGTGTCCTGAGTGTGAAAAAGGAACTCTGTCTTA